AAAGTTTGGTGGAGATGACAAGCTTGATGCTGGTTCCTGTTGATGCAAGTGATTTCAGATTTTCTTTGTTTTTTTTATTACTCATTTTTGATAACTGTATAACATATAAGTACATATATCTTTGGCCTATTTGTGGCTAAAGAGGGGGAGATTTTTTGTGTTAATTACTTGGTAGACATTATATTTTTCTGCAGACATATTCATTCTGCTGCTCTCTATTCTCTGATTGCTTAGGGGTTTTAGCCAAAAATCTGCCAAAGGGGGAGTTTGTAAGTGTTTAGTTATTGGCATGTATTTTTGGTAAAACCAGGTGTGTGAATGTCATGACTGATGTCATAACATTCTGGATTATTAGGTACTTTATGCAGAAAAAGTATGGCATACAGTAGCTACTGTTTATGAGTGTGTATCTGAGCATTTTGCAATGATCACATTTATCTCTTTCTACCAAAATCAGTAAATAGGAATTCTGATGTCATAACAAATGTTAAGACATCCTGTACTGATCTAACAGTTATGCAGTTTGGTTAATTCTGAGATTTTTCAGGAAGTTGGTTCATTCCTTCCAGAACAGAATCTCACGTGGACTTTAGGTTAACCTAGCTCAACCCTAATCTGGTTGATAAAGTCTTGTGACCAAGTATTGAGGTTAACCCTAATTAACCCTAGCTTTTCGTGGAAGCCCTAACTGAAGAAACAGCTGCATATATATTCAATAGGAAAGTTGATTGGAAATTAACTCTTTGACAGAAGATCAATTAGGAGCTGTATAGTTTTAACTGCTGTAATCCAAGCAAGTATCATTGTGATAAGTGACTTGGAATAGGTTTTGATTGTAAGGGTTTTTGTATCACTCAAAGCTTTGAAGCAAGAGTGTTTGTGTCTCTTGACTAAAGCTTTGAAGCAAAGTCAAGTTAGGTTTATGTATCACTCAAAGCTGTGAAGCACGAGTGTTTGTGTTACTTGATTAAAAAGCTGTGAAGCATAATCAAGTGTATGTTCTGAAGAGTGTCTTCATTATTTCATTAGTCAATTGTTTAAGTATCACTGCTGTGATTGAGGGGGAGTGAGTAGGAACTCAGGTTTAAGTTGAACTTAGATTGAAGTTGCATTGGGTAGGTCTTAAGTGAAGGAGATAAACTGGTTGGTTTATTCCTGAATTAATATCTCTTATAGTGGATTTCCTCCCTGGCTTGGTAGCCCCCAGAGTAGGTGTTGTTTCACACTGAACTGGGTAAACAATTGACTGTGTTCTTTACTGTTTTTATTTACTGTCTTATAGAAAGTCAGATACGGTGTCATAACATTCACTGTGACATTGAGTATCTGCTGCCAGAATTTCACTAAATGTTGTCCAGTCGAAGCTAGTACAAACGTAGTCAATGTTTTGTTGAAGCCTTATGGTCGAAACAAGCTAATGCCCAGTCGAAGCTTGTATCGAAGAAAACATATTGCTAAATCGAAAGCTCATGCTCGAAGGAAGCATATTGCTCAATCGAAGCATGTGGATTGAAACAAACATAAATGGAGTCATTTCCTTGTAGCGTGAGGGACGTTCCTGGCTTCTGAGTCGAAGGGTATTCCCAAGTTGCATTCGAAAAGGAGGCTCTTGCTCAAAATGAAGGATGTAATCCAAGTTGCATTCGAAGGAGGCTAAGAGTCCATCGAAGGGTGCTAAATCGAAAGAGACTTGTTTTCCTCCAAATTTGTCAAAATGTTATTTTTATCTGTTTTCTCCATTTTTGACAGTTTCCTTTTAATTTTGGTATTGGAAATCCAAATGCACTTGTTCAAGCTTGTACCTTGAAAATCCTTGTAAGAAAGGCCTTGAGAATTGAGAGGGCAAATTTTGGGGTACAACAGGGGCTCCTCCGGGGAGCTCTTCGAGGTAAAAGGTGATAGGCTCCGACCTACCTTTCACCCTTTCAAAGGTCACCGTCTGAGGAGGTGCAGAGTCGACCAGTTCATCCAGCTTCCTCTTGGCCGAATTTATGGTTAGGTCGTTGAATCCTCCACCATTAATGACCATGGCGGAGGGAAAGTGCTCCCACCTGTTGTGTGTTGACAACGGCCCTTGCAAGTGCTCGGGGACGTAGAAGTCCTCAGGTCTTATGACGGAGAAGGCGGTCTGGATGGGGACCGACTCGTCAGATGGTCGGGCATCCTCTTCCGGCTCTCTTGTCTCCCGGGCGTCGCGACGAGGAGCGTCGTTACGCCGATATTGGGTGAGTCTCCCCCCTTTATGAGGATCTCGATGCCGTCCTTGAGGTGGACGCAGTCCTCCGTCAGATGACCATGGCTCCTATGGTACTGACAATATTTGCTCTTGTCCACCCCGGGCTTGGTAGGAGCTGGTCGAGGGCGCTTAACGCCGCCATCTTTGAAATCCGTGCTGGCACACTCCGTCAAGATGCACTCGCGGGAAGCCGTGAGCAGAGTGTATTCTGTGAAACACCCCGAGGGTCCTCTCTGTTCTCGGACTTCTCGGGGTTTGTCGTCCTTTCTTTTCTCCCCGACTCATCGAGAAGGAGCGGCCTCTTGGCGCGGGTTGCTGCTGGATCCGCGAGTTCTGGGATCACGGGCTCTGTTGGCGGCTTCCCTTTCCTCGTAATCCATATAGGCCCTAGCCTTCTCGAGGAGATCATCAAACGTTCGGGGCGGTCCGATGCCCACTGCTTTTCTGAACTCTGTGCCAGAGAGGAGTCCCCTCTCCAACAAGTATCTTTTCATGTGGTCCACGCAGGGGACTTGGATGGCTTCACGATTGAAGCGGTTGATGAATTCTCTCAAGGTTTCATCCTGCCTCTGGATGATAGCCTCGAGCGCCGCTTCTATCTTTGGATGTCGCCGCGACGCGGTGAACGAGCTTATGAATTGGTTTTTCAAGTTTCTCCACGAGGTGATTGACCCCGGGGCAAGACCCTTGTACCAATCCATTGCTGCTTTCCCGAGGGTTGTCGGGAACAACCAGCATTTGATGGGTCCCCCAACGTTATGATAGTGCATCATAGCTTCGAACCCGTCTATATGATCGACCGGGTCGACGACTCCGTCGTATTCCTTCAGGTGAGGGGGCTTCTCCATGCCCCGGGGGATTGGTGCCTCCATGATGGCTTGTGATAGGGGATCGCGGGGGTCGTCCTCATCACTTTGTTCCAGAGAAAGAGACGGGGACCTGAGGTATTGTCGGGCACGACGGTCTTGATCGTGTTGGATGTCCGTCGAGCGATGCGCTCGTTGATCCGTCCTTCCATGCCTGTCCCCAGGATGTCTTCGTTCTTGCCGCAAAGGGATATGGTTGCGCCCCCCGGCTTCAATGACTGGTTCCCTCTCCAAGGGGGCTCGTCTCCCCGGTTGTCGGGGTGATGGGCTTCGGGAGGTGTTTCTGTATTGTCTCTGCGGGGGAGACGGGAGACGTACCTCTGTTCTTCGAGGAGGTGGGGTCTGAGGCCTCCTGTGTCTCCTCGGGGGTCTTCTGTTGTCCTCTAGCGCCATCAATCTTTCCCCCTGGGCAAAGATGAGGTAATTGGTCTGGTTGATTGCCGCGAACAATGCTCTGGTCGTGGCGTCTGCCCCTGCGGGGACAAGGACCTCCTGGAATTGGGCGACCAGATGGTTTGGGGGAGTTGTATTATCTTCTTCGAGCGGAGGGGGGACCGGAGAAGATGAGGCAGTGGCTCCGTCTCGGTGGCCTGAGGGCCCGGGGATGACACCCCCGGGGAGTATATTATGACCGGTGTTGCCGGCGTTGTCGGGGCTCCGTTCTTGTCCGCGAGGTTGTTGGCATCGACGACGCGGACGTTCTGGTCATCCTGAATTTGGTCAGCCATGACGGTAGAAGGTGATTTTTAGCTTTGGTCTTTGAGAGTTTGTAAGACGGGGAAGCTAGTCTCCCACAGATGGCGTCACTGATCTTACCGGATCAGACTTGGACCATCACAGCTGGCTCAAACTGGATTTGAGAGAGATGGGGGGGGGGGGTACCTGCAAGACACTCCGATGCTAAAATGAGAGACGGAATGGGCAAGAAAAAAACGTATAGGCGTGTGATAGATGAATATCTGACCCTCTTGAAACAGAGGGTATTTATAGCCCCCAACGCTGGGCCAAGGTCCCCTCATTGGGCTGACCAGAACTGACCCAATAAAGGAACTGCCAGGTTCTACGTGTGTAGTGGGGACCCGCACGTGGTCCTCTTCCTGGGTGGTGCTCTGCGAAGAACGAGGAAGGACGAAGACGCGGTCTTTCCGAAGCTTTGAGGATTCCATAACGGTTATAATGGATAGAATCTGCCCTACGGGGAGGGTGCTCGAGCTGGAGCTCCCTTGGTCGGGGACGTTGCTCCTCGAGGGCGGCGGTGGGCATTGTAACTGTAGTCTGTGATCGGGCACGTTCGGTGATGGTCAGATTGTGTGCATTCCTCGAGGAGATGCTTGAATCTGGGCCTTCATTTGTACTTTGGGCCAAGACGGACCCAATCCAGAATAATTTTTATTTAATAATCTATTAACTGAAATTTCAACTCTTAAAAATAAATAAATAAAATGTCACATATTTAAACCCAAAATACATATTTATTTTGTTACCTTTTTTTTTTACAATTTATTTATTTTGTTATCTATAAACATACATGATTAAATATTCTATAGATGTTTATTTTGTTACCTATAAACATACCTGATTAATTCATTCATCATCATAGATATTTGCTTAAAAAAGAAGCTGTTAGTTAGATCGAAATCTTTACAATAAAGAATAGATTAGAGTGTAAGCAAACACTTTTTTTTTTCTTCATATTTTTTATTTCTTCATGTTAAAAATCAAATTAAAAACAAAAAGAAAAAAGAAAAGAAAAGAAAGAAAAAAAAGAGCAAACGAACTGTCTTCATCGTCAAACAACCCAACTCAACCAACCCAAAATTTAACATCAGAAGATTCATAACTTTCTCGAATTCGATTCAAAGTTTTGATTTTTGATTTTTGATCTTTGTTTTTCAGCCATGGAGGTACCTACTTCATGGGATTCTCTTCGCAAACAGGTTCCAATTGTTATTCTTTCCCTTTTCATGTGTTTTATGCTGTAAATTTTACTAATTTTGATATGGGTATGTATAATTTGAATGCCTACATGCGAAAGTTTTGATTTTTCTTTATGGGGTTTTGTGAATTTTGTAGATGATGTGTGTGCACCCTTTTTTATTTTATTTTTTATATATGTGTGCTTTGAACAAGATTTAGTTTTGTTTATAGAATTTAAGGTTTTAATTAGTAGAAAGCTTTTTTTTTTTTAAATGCCGTGGATGAGAATTTGTTCCTAGATTTAGGTTCATTTTAACCTAAGGTTTGCTTGGGAGATAAGCAAGGTTCTTTGCATTGTGATCAGTATTGTGTTATGTACCTAAAGAGTGGATTTGAGTCCGATTATCGACCTGTTTGAATTTACTTATTTGAGCATATGTACTCATAGAATCACTTGTAAGATTGTTTGGAATGACTTGTGAAAATAGCTTATGACATGATCATGGCAGAAACCAAAATCTTGCATACCAGGCACTTTGCGGCGCCGTTATAGCGGATTATAGCGGAAAACCTCGCAATATCGACCGATATTTACCATTGCAGTGCCATTTATATCCGGCATAGCGTGTGGCAGATATTTGATTACACTGATTGTATTTAGAACCAAAAGGCTTTGTGCTGCGTCTGCAACAGTCTGGTGATCATAGAATATAAATGGTGCAGGAATTTGGTTTTGTGGTTTACAACCTGAGAACATTGAATGACGCTTAGAATTTCCTTAGAAACTAAGAAGTGATTTTGAGTGACTAACTGACTATACAGATAAGTTGTAAGTTGTACTATTGCTTTTGGGGTTATGTGTGTTTGTTAGTACCCGTTTTTCACCTAGTAATAATAATGTAAAAAAGACTTATGGAGTTGGATATTTTTGATTGGCTTGAACTTTGAAGGTGTATTCATGCAAGTTGTTTTTTCTTCCTTTGTGGTTACCTACTTTTTACATTATTTTGGATTAAGGCAAGCAAATGATTGGTAGAAGAATTGTTGTCCCCCATTCTCTTGCAGGCAAGAAAACTTGAAGCTCAATTGGATGAGCAGATGAATGTTTATCGTAAATTAGTTTCTACCAACGTTTCGACAAAAGGTGATGCTGCAGAGAGTGATGTAGAGTCTTGGATTGAGCGGTTAATAAAACAACTCCAACAAGTAAACTCACATATGCAAGCTTGGGTGTCATCTGGTGGTTCAGATATGGTTTCTCATACTTTGACTAGACACCAAGAAATTCTTCAAGATCTTGCACAGGTATTCTATTTCAATTGTCTGACCTTGAGCTACCCGATATCACTTTGTGTTACTGTATGCATAGTCCTGTCAAATTGTTGTGCTATAGCATTGCGGAATTTGAAAAAATTACTACTATTATGCGATACTCTATTTAGTATAAAGTGTTGTTAAATAGGGCTCTATATCACTATAATAATATAGCAGAATTTGAACAAACTGTTATTTCTTGTGATTCATGATTGACAATACTGCCTATATGCCTTTTATGGAGCTATCTGTATGCAAATATGGGGTAGATGTTCCTTGTTCCCTGATGCCAATGGTTTATTTTGATGCAGGAATTTTATCGTCTTCGCTCAAGTCTTCGAGCAAAGCAAGAACATGCTTCACTTTTAGACGATTTTAAAGAATTTGATAGGTCAAGATTAGACTTGGAAGAGGGTGGTGAATCTGAACAGCATACGCTCCTAAAAGAGCATGCATCTATCAGTCGAAATACCGGACATGTCAGTCATATAAAACAATTACATGCTTTCTAGTATAAAAAGTTGTTTTCTTTCTTTTTAATCGACATAATCACAATTGAATGCTTTAGCCATATTATTATGTTAGCTAAGAACTCTTTTGTATATATTGCCTACTTGTTATATTAACACTTTCTGGATAGCAATTTAAATTAAATTTGTAGAACATTGTACAGAAGATTCCATATCTTGCTTTTCGAATAATTCATTGATTTTTCTTTGAAATTCGAAATGATCTTCAATTCTGGCGGTCTTGTTCTGCTTATTCATGTGTTGCAGATGGACGGTGTAATTTCACAAGCACAAGCAACACTAGGAGCACTTGTCTTTCAACGTTCAACATTTGGTGGCATCAATTCAAAGCTCAGCAACGTGAGCAGTCGCCTCCCAACGGTATGACTCTTATCAACTTACTGCACAGGTTTCCTGCATTTTTCGACTATAGAGATTCCAGATCCCGCGGTGTAAAATTCTGGAAATGTATTACGCGCTGTCAAATATTGTTTGCATGAAGATTTCATCATCTGATATTGAACTGTGATTTAAAATATTTTTTATTCATTCGCGAGCTTCAAATTCGGACTGTCTAATTTCAACCAAACAATCTTCAATGCAGTGATTGCAAGTCCTCCGGTTGATTTAACGCTTTTCTTTGAATAAAATTGCAGGTAAGTAACATACTCTCGGCAATAAAGCGAAAAAAGTCAATGGATACCCTTATACTTTCTCTTGTGGCATCTGTATGCACATTTCTCATTTTGATCTACTGGATAACCAAATGAGGTTGTTAGTTTTTGGTTGGTGCTCAACTTGTGTAAACTCTATTCCAATACTGAAAGGTAGTGTTTTGTATCTGTTCATTTGGTTGTTTATCCTTGTAACAAGCAATGCTGAGTAACACTCCAAGCAAAAAGAGAAAAACAAAGATTTTGGGAACGTAGGGTACCATTTCTTTGTTCAATATCGAAAACCATAGCTTGTAGAGCAAGTGATATAGATTACCAACCAACAATTAAGTCTTATTCTACTAAGTACGGTCGATTATATGGATCAAATTTTGTCGTACTGATTTATCTAATATTATGTTTTTATCCGATTTATTTATCTCGAAATCTTTTTTAACAAATTATTTTATAGACTAAAAGAAATTCAATGTGAATTTAGTAATCGTATAGTGACGATATAAATAGTATTTTATTATCCTGTCTAAGGATTTATGTTAAGTCCATCAGAGCATGAGATAAGTGGTTGGTGCATCGCGTGTGTAAGAGTTGTAAATTTCAGGGTATTGAGTTTGACTTTTACTGATAAATAAAAAAGATATTATGATGTAATAAAATTTTGATTAGACATAGGTGTAAATTGTAATGGTTATTGAACTTTATTCACTATGATGTAAATATTGAATTTCATCACTATTTTGAAAATATCACTATGATGTAAATATTGAACTTTATCACTATTATGAAAATATCATTTGAATATGTATATCTGAATGTACCTTTCAGCATGTTTCAGATATGCGCATTCGAAGTCACCTTGTGAATATTAGTGAGACATTTTAGTGAGGAGAGAAAGAGAAAATAATAAAGAAAATAAAGATTTATATTATTGAATTGTACAAATAATGATACATATTAGGACTATTTATATACAATCATAATTGAGTTTGGACCTACACAACTTTGATTATATTTAAATATTAAATCTAATCAAACCTAACCCCATGTGACCTCCTCTGCCTCCTATATTGCGTCGCACTGGATGCCTCCCTAATCATTGTTCCAACGATGACAACCACTTCAGGACCGTCCCTCTCAATGATCCCGAAATCCAATGTCTCCTGCCCAAGAATGTGTATTCCCTGACAGATCGACAAGACATCAGTGGCATGGTCATCCTCGGCCTGTTGGTTTTCCAAGAGGTCCTCATGATCTGTCATAGGTGGACATCCTAGACCATCCGGTGTCATGATAGAGTGTGACACGTTAAAGAACCATGTCACGTATCCCTCTACACAATGTCAACTCCCAGATACCGGCATCATCTGATACTCCTGTGACACCAAATGACTCTCTCAATCCTAAAAGATATCATATAAATGAGTTGAAATGAGTAGAAATTCCAAATTTGAGTAGAAATCACGTGGGGGTGGTTTTGGGTTTGTAAACAAATGAGTTTTAAAACGTGAAAATATTCTGTTTGAAAACAGTTAAATGACTTCAGATATGCACATCTGAAGTATTAATACTTTAAGATACATCTTATTTCTTTGTCAAAGTAATGTAGTGCTTTTTTTCTATCTTTAACTAATTTAAATGACACAATAGTTACTTTTTGTCAAATTATGACAAAGTGTTTCAATTTAAATTTGTGTATTTATATTACTTAAGAATAACTTTATCTTACTTAAGTTTATATATACTCTTAAGTCAAGTGAGAGAATTTCACCTTTTCTTTTGAATATTTTCGTTTTGTTAGATTAAGGGAGAAAAGAAACATAATCTAGATTTAGATTTGTCCTTAACGTGTACTATAAATAAGTTGTCATAATTGTTCTCTCTCCTGACTCTCAGTTTCATCTGTTTCACTTTATTAACATACTATGGTAGCTCAAATACACAAAGAGTCTGAAGAAACACTTATGATCCAAACATGTTCCCTCGTGATTGACGACAAAAATGAGGAAACCTACCATGCAAATTCTCCACTGGCACTAGTTGAAATGAAAGCAATTATGAAATATGAGTTCAAGAGTAACTACTTGTTGGATATCCGAACGCACCATTCAACATATTTTAGATATACACATCAGAAGTCACATGCGAATATGTCAACAGATGTTTCAGATATGCATATATGAAACATTATTTGTTTGTGTCATTTTTGCTTAAAACATCATCATTACCACTACCTAATAAACTGACAAACGGACAAACATAAAATGATATGATTTGGATGAAAAATGAAACGAACATAACAATTAGATTAGATGTTCAGAAATAGGGAAACATAATATAATATATAAGTTGTTCAGAGAGTGCGTAATATTAAAATATTATATCGGTAAAAAAACATATAACATAGACTACTGCTACTACGTATACCTAATCCTAACCCCCAATGACCTCCTCTGTCTCCTATAATGCACCGCACTGGATGCTTCTCTAATCATCCTCCCAATGATGGAAACTGTAACACCATTCTACACCCAAAGAATATTCACAATTATTTTAATAAATAAATCAGTGTATATCACCAATTAGGATGTCACATCTTCATGAAAATACCGTAACAATAAATCTTGCTCCGTAGTACGGGTTTTCAAAATATTTAACAAGATATATTCAACATTTAGTTCTTCAAATCATTGCAGCGGAAACATAGTTCAAAACACCTCATTATAATACTTCATAAAATTTATTCATGCTTCATAACTCACATTGATAAATCAAAACAACTCGAGTACCACGTAGGGTGACTCAACATCTTAAAACAAAACAAAGAACATAGGTCCCAATCATTCGATCTCAACTTCGATGTTACTTATCAGAGCAAGACTCCCTTTATTTAACAAAAGCAAATAAATGCACTCCAGAGATATCCTCTAATGCTTCTACAGACTATTCTCGATCACCTACGCATTACCCACGTGGAGGCAACATTCAAACAAAAAGGGTGAGTAAATCATAATCATTATATAAGACATAATGAATAGATATAGTAAATATGCACATAAGCAAGGCATCACACATCATCATATCTTCATGTTATACTCACACCTTCACAACTTCATCAATACATGAACACATATCATCATACACAATATATCATCAAGCATCACAAATAAATCATTATGCAATATCACATAGAATGTAATGCAATGTCACAAACTTATGCATGTGATACTAAAACTTCACTGATGACTCAGTCATCGTTATCTCCAAAGATCCCCACCATAGGATCGATTCCCGTTCGGAACCAGAGCACTTCACTGTTGCACCCAATCCACACCATGGGATTGATGCCTTCATTAGACAATCGTTCTATTATCTTTGCTGGACTGAAGTCCTATTAATATCACTGGAACAAAGTCCTAAACTATGCCATGAATGCATGATGTACAACAACATAAAATAAACGACCACGGCTAGTCAAAAATGCATCATCGTTCATGATTACATCATAATATCATCATAACATCGTATAATGAACATCATAATAAAACATCATATCATAATATTATCGTCATGTCATCATAATATTCAAAAATCATCATATCACACAACATATCATCATATCATTATATTATACAATGTATCATCATGCTATTTTATAATCATCCTCTACTCATCTTCTAATAATCTTAAGAACAAGCGCCTTTGTAATCCAACAAGGGGAACCTAACTTCATTCTAGATTGGTTATTTGGGAGATACTTATTTTGTCTCATTTTATTACATCTAACTAAATTTCATTGCGTTAGCTTCCCTATGCTTCGAACGACACCTCATTCTGAGCTATAAAATTCAAGTTATGACTCTTTTAAGAAAATCCAAACAGCCAATCATTTCTGCTTTCCTTCGCCCGATGACACATCTCCATCGCCTGGAGACACTTCCTTCGTCACTACCTTCACCCAACAATGCTAGAAGAGACAAACTCCATAAGCGTCACTCTTTTCTGCCATCCATCGCTACCAATTTCACCTGACGAAACTTCGTCGCCTGGCGACACATCCTTCATCGTCCGACAACGTTGTGCGAACATGGTTTTCCTGTTGTGATTTCCTGCATAAACCAGTCCAATTTTCCTATTTTTCCATCACATTAGAGGTCCTAAAATATCATATAATCACATGGTTTCATCATCTATTAACATCATATAATTCTATACTCATTATACATCAATTATAAGTCATTATTCATCACTAATTCACCAATTCTTCATCAAACAACACCAAATCATCATCTACCAAAACCTAAGGAAATACACCATCATTTAAATCTTAAATCAAATATAATAAAAATGATAAAACCTTCTTACCTTAATATTATAGCAGAGATCAATCCCCCTTCGCGCTCTACCGGGATTCCTGTACTCTTCCTGCCTCTTTGTGCCCTAGACTTCTTTTTCTCCACATCACTCTTCCAATTCCACAATCGCACAAAATGATCGTATAAACTCTTACACCTTTTCCTTATACCAAAATTGCCCTCTTAGACCCCTAATAATGAACTTCCCATCACACTCTCACTTATCCTTCACTAATGACCACAATTCCCTTAATCTCTCTACATCTATATTATTCTATTATCTCAATTAAAATAATTCCAATTAAATACTATTAAATCTAAATAATTCTAACTAACTATTTAAATTCTAAACCTTCTTATTATCCCATCCTACTACTCATAGTAACCCATCACACATCAAAGTCATCAAAATATCATATTTACCTCAATCATCATGGGACACTTCATATTCATCATAAAGGCTCACATAAAATCATCAAAATATCAAAACATCAAACACTTCATATTGACTCATACAATCAGGCTAAATTAATAAATTAAATAATTAGTCTAGAATTTAGGGTGTTACAACAACCACCTCAGGACTGTCCCTCTCAATCTCGAAATTTAATGCCTCTTACCCAAGAATGTGTATCCGCTGACAGATTGGAAAGACATTAGTAGCATGGTCATCCTATCCCTACAGGTTCTCCAAGACCTCCTCATGAACTGGCCTAGGTGGACATCCTGGACCATCTGGTGTCATGA